ATTAAATAATATATATTTTGATTTATAATATTTTTATATTTTGATATATAATATATATCTATAATATAAATTATATATATATATATATATATATATATATATATATATATATATATATTTTTATATTTTGGTATATAATAATTTAAATAATATTTTATTTTGATTTGCTTTTTTAATATTAAAAAAGCAAATCAAAATAAAAGCAGAAGTGTCAGTAGCAACAAAAGCTAATGCAATCCTGCAATGTTGTCTTATGCAACACGAAGCTCACGTGAGCAGTGTCACCTCACGACACGAATTGACACGTTGGTTGTGAAACGCGCGATGAATTAGTCCCCAGCAAGAGGCCGGTTTCTGACGAGGACAGAACAAGAATGTGTAGCTAGAATAAGAACATAAAGCTACACGAGAGAGTAAGAACATGAGGCTACAACAAAAACATAGGTTATAACAAGAACATAAAGCTACAAGAACAAGAGGCTACAACAAGAACATGAATACGAGAGACAGGTTCATGAGAATAAATAGTTGGGAGTACTGACTCTCTTGGAACAATAGGCCTAGGGCTGTAGTACTGTTGTTTTCTTAAACAATAAGTAGATGGTGTTGTGAGAGAGGAGGAGAGGACCGAGACTAAACAACATACCTCTTTGGTAATAACTGGAGAACCGCTGCCACCTCCCCCCTCCCCATCTCTCACTCTCTCCCACACACACTAATAGGCAGTAAAAAAAACTTGTAAACACACACATTACGTGACAGTAACTTCCATATATATATATATATATATATATATATATATATATATATATATATATATATATATATATATATATATATACATATATATATATATATATACACACACACACACACAATCATATGTGTTTGTGTGTGGTTTTTCATTTTCCATAGTGTATGCGTGTGTGTATTTACTACATTCACTAAGGCGAATAAAAATATATTAGCCGTAAACTATAATATTAATTAGTGCTATCAATCTTGGCCCGTGTTATTGTATCCCAGAAAGCCAGGGATACCCGCGAACCGGGTCATCACGCCACTCAGGATTACTTAACCAATTCGCCAGCAATTCCTCGGATATCTATGTCGAGCGCTGAGGGTAGCACAGACACCCAGCACCCCCCTCACCCTGGCGTCATTCTCGCCCCTACAGCGCTACAACATTAGTGCCATATTACCACAACGCCTCTAGGTAACGCGTCGCTGCTCCTCCCTCGTACGCCGTAATTGCGGTTGGAGTTGGAATGATCGGCAGAAAATGGGGTTCCATACGCCGGGATAGATCAGGTTTAACTTGTAATGGGCCCCAAGGAGAGGTAGGCACTTCTCACAAGGTAAAAAAAAAAAAAAAAAAAAAAAAAAAAATAGCCCCAGTGAAGCCTATTACAGAAAGAATCTTCATTCCTTTCCGCTTCGGGGAATGAGGATAGGATGGAGATCCGACCACAATCCTTTTGTGCACTAAATATATACTCTAGAGTAGGCCTTTATATTATTACACATGTAGATTAGGCATTTATGATTAAAATTCTAGAGTAGGCCTCATCATTAATATACTAGAATTGTAGGATTATACATTAAAATTGTAGAATAGACATTAAAAATTTAATAACATTAAAATTTAAAACATAATGCGACGTGTTATGTTTGTATATCTAAATATGATTGGCTCAAAAGCTTATGGTGTTATAAATATATAATTGTGACACTGATGAGCTCAAGTATAAATGTATCCACACACTAAGGCAATGTTACAATGGCTGGCTGGGCAATGTTATTTTTTTGGTTTGTTTGTTGTTTTTGAGATATATACAAGAATTGTTACATTCTTGTACAGCCACTAGTACGCGTAGCGTTTCGGGCAGGTCCCTGGAATACGATCCCCGCCGCGAAGAATCGTTGTTACAACCAAGTACACATTTTACTGTTGCGTTAAACAGAGGCTACAGTTAAGGATTTGCGCCCAGTAAATCCTCCCCGGCCAGGATACGAACCCATGACAAAGCGCTCGCGGAACGCCAGGCGAGTCTTACCACTACACCACGGAGACTGTGTTACATCAATACATCCCCACACTAAGGCAACATTACATAAATACAGTAGCAGGATTATCTGTATGGATGTGGGATACGTAGTACACAAGACTGTTGCCCAACAGATTTTTAAAACGTATTAAACATTATTCAACTAAACGTAATCTTACCTTAACTCAACTGAACCTCATACACCTTAACCTAAACCTAGATGAACCTAACATAGCCTAACCTAAACCCAACCCCAACTTAATTAACACAGCCTAACCTAAACCTAACCCAAACTAAAACTAACTTAACACCTAAGCTAATCCATCTTAACATAACGATATATCACCTCGCGATACATACGGTTTTGACAATCAGAAAGTGAGCTTTGTCAAATTGTCTTATGTACAATTTGAATAAAATAAATCTGGATAAATAAATTCGAGTGTGTGTGTGTGTGTATTAAATAATCGAATTTACTAATTGTGTCTACAGAATCGAGCTATTAGCTAATGGACCCCACCTTTTTAACCAATCTATTTTTTCCTCTATTGTGTCTACTACATACATTTCTATCTAACATACACACACACACACACATACATCCACAGGAAGCAGTCTGAAGCAGCTAACTCCCAAATACCTATTTATCACTAGGTGACCAGGAACATCAGGTGAAAGAATCTCTGCCCATTTGCTTCTGCCTCGGCCGGGAATCGAACTCGGGGCCTTAGAACTTCAACCTCAGATCGCTGTCTACTCAGCCGCGAGGCGCTGGTGTGTGTGTGTGTGTGTGTGTCCGTTATGTAATTCAATCACCGTTTGAACGGAAGAATTCAAGCACGATCATGCACGTGACTGCAACCTTCCCACCGGCGCCTATTGCAGACTACTGGGAGGCATGATAGGCAAATGCAATACTTATATGCAACAAGTTCACCGCAAATGTAACTAACTCTCTCAGATTAAAGATGATAGGAGTCCGATATCTGAACCTATTATGTGAGTAACCATTCTGACGCATATGATGGTATAGGGACCCATTATAAACAAACAATAACCTACCCACAAGTGCCGATGAAGAGCATAGGCTGTAATGGAGCTGAAGTTTTTGGTCTCATGTTGGCGAGGTTATTAAGGCCACTACAACAGCTGACCATACATTAGTTTTTGGACATGTTCAGTATATATACACGAGAAGCGGGGTGGAGCTCTGTGTATATATATCTCAACTCTTCCTTCAGTCAAAAGTATATACCAAATACTGACTGTAGATATATATACACAGCATACAACCAACTGACTAGACGAGTCTCATACGGTATAATGACAAGCGTTCTTTTTTAATATAAATTATTATATATTTTGGGTTTATGCCTAGTTAGGTTAATGGAGGGTTAGGTAAGGTATTTGGTTACTCTGGTTCAGGGCGTTTTCCAACCTGTCCTCAGGCTAGGCTCGTGTAATTTACCCTAAACCAACCCTAAAAACATAACTTTCAACGTACTGCGTAATCAATACTGGAATGTTCTCAAATAAAATATAATATTAATATTTACTACAATGTGTTGAATAGCTAGACCTAACTTAGGTTACGACAGGTTAATTGAGTGTTTACACTAGATTTTAAATATGGTGAACCCGACGGCCCTTTGTTTTGGGAATTTGTGGTAATATCTGTGTTGTTTACTTGACTGGAATACGTATCATTATTTGTTTGACACTTGCACTCTTGTAACTTTGCCAAATTACTGTGTAACGCTCGAATTTACCAACATTATGGACAAATAGATATCACCATCACCAACGAAACAGTTACTGTATATCCACTTCTGAGTGCGTTACTAACTAGTAACGCACTTGACGCGCGTATGGAGGAGTGTCACAAAGTACTCAGCTCCTCGCCACCATACAGTACCTGTCGACCTAGCCATCAGGAATTGGACCTACTATCACCTAGCCATCAGGAATTGGACCTACTATCACCTAGCCATCAGGAATTGGACCTACTATCACCTAGCCATCAGGAATTGGACCTACTATCACTTCCTCTGAAAACCATACACAGAGACCCTCCTCATGTAGGCAAGATCACAGTTAACTTTTACCCAGGTTCTAAAACCTGGCCCTACGAACGCCCCTTATAAGCCTACTTCATCAAGAGCCAACGTAACCCTTCCCTCATATATTTTAAAGCCACCTGACACCTCGCCCTCATTATTGTGGCCTCTCTCGCTTCTCTTGGTGGTGGGAGAAGAGGAGGCAGAGATGGGGAGGGAGATGAGGAAGTAGAGATGGGGGAGGGAGAAAAAGGGAGAAGAGATGTAGAAAGAGGAAGAGAATGGGGAGAAGGAAAGAGCGGGAGGGAAAAGGGGGTGAGAAGGGAAAGAAGGGGAGAAAAAAAAATGGTACTGGGGAGAGTGTGGGGAATGGGGGGGGGGGGGAGGCGAGGAGAGGTCTTGGGCCTGGGGGGGGGGGTGCTTGGAGCGGGAGGTGGAGTTTAATTTTCCGAGTGCCGTTTCAATCTCGCTATGTCGAACTTTTTAAATCTTTTACTATGTGTCTGCTCTAGGAGTGTTTACAAACGAATATACGTTTGTTTTTATCTTGTATATGCGGTGTTTTGCTATTCATGAGGTTTTATTTGTATTTTAATCGATTTAAGTTTACTACTTCTGTTGTAATTCTTGAGGCAAGTGAAGATATGCATTTCATATTACATAATAAAGTCACTGCAAAACAAAACAATATTCAACTATATACGTGACGCCTTGAAATATACTTAACACCTACTATTTAACACCTAATGTTTACACAATGATCAAACACAAATGGTAATCGTACGTCTGGCAGCGGGTGTGTGTGTGCTCGGGCCAAACAAATCTCCGTTTTCTACGCGGTGGTTGGATGCTCGGAGAGTGACCAACCTCCCGGCATCCTCCTCCCCGGGCTGTCTCAAGATCTCAGTTTGGCTAGTGCCCGCGGAGCGTGAGGGTGTCTCGTCTTCCGCTTCTGGCTTCCGTGACTCGAGGCGCCTCTGTGGTGTTCGTGTACCTTCAGAGACGAGGGACATTATCAGCATTTCGAAGGCATCACCAAGTTCGTGAACACGCGATATATTTGTTAATCGTCTGGTGTTCCGCTCAAGCCGATAGAGGAACGGAGGGACTTTAAAACTCTGGATTTTAGTGACATAAAAGGGCATTTGCAAGTGTGGTTAGTGGTGCCCGTGCGGTTACTGGCTGGAGGAACCGTTGTAACCAAACCGTTGACCACTAGTGGTTAACGAAACCCAGTGGTACACGCACTCATCAGGGGCGCATATCGACTACCTTCAAACTCTCCAGAATTATTATTAGAGGAAATGATACATGAACTTATTTAGTAAATCAAGAGACCTAAGCGAAGATGGCGTTCAGAAATTATAAATGGTTGTTGTGGTGTGTTGTGGTAGCCAGTGTGGGACTCACCACCTCAGCCTCGACGGTGGTCCTCCGCGACAACGGCTACCTGGGCGTGGTGGTGGCACTCGAAGACAACCTATCAGTCTCCCTCTGCCAGGAACTTCTACAGGGCCTTCAAGTGAGTGTTATAAATATTATGTTTTTTTTTTAGTTAGTCCCAGCATGCAATCTGTCCATAAACAGGTGTATCACTAGTGTTGGAGTGAGGACGGGAGTTCATCCTCCGGTTGTGGTAGCCTCAGTCCGCTGACCACCAAAGAATACGCTTCGTTACATTAAAAAAAACCATTGTTACTCAACGAGGCGTAGAGCCCTTAGAACGACGACCAAAGGCTACAAAACCATTTTCTTAAGAAGTTCGTTTTCTTGGTTTCCTGACCGAAACCAAACAAAATGTTTCAGTGTGCGTCCTAACGAACCTATTATCATTAGGTCCAATACCTTTTTTCCAACTCTTACTTAATTTGCCCTTCCCTACTTCCTCCATGTCTTAATTATGTCTTTTGTGTAGATTAGGAGTTTCCTCCAGTTTTGTGTTTCCGGCCTCTGATACAGGTCACTTCGTACAGACGATGCTTTGACAACGAATTAAAAAATAACGATATATACATAATTTAAAGGGATTTTTGTTTTCGACTCTTGCCTCCCTCCCCTATCCGTTTAAGTTCATGTGAGTTTATTACAAAAAATAAAGTACATCTCAAAAGGATAGAGTAACTTAGGCTATTTCTACCCTCGTCTATATAAGGTCCCTCAAGGGGCTCACAAACCAATACACTACACTTGATTTTTCAAGTGACCTCAAGTCGACAATCGACTTGAGAATGGTCCAGGACGGACCGAAACGTCGTCGTCCCTTCAATTTCTAGTGTGTGGTCTGGTCAACATACTTCAGCCACGTTATTGTGACTCATCGCCTGCATACACAATTATTAATCATATTCTATATTTAACATTCCAGTAGTAATCACATGGCATACTGTGAGAGCTCTTATTGATTATGCTGCCCCTGCCATGTCTGATTTTAGTAAAGGCAGACTAAACAAGTTAGAGAAGATACAAAATGAAGCCATGAGAATAATCCCAAGATTATTCTCATAGTTCAAGATATACTGTTACTGAGATAATGATTATATGATGTTAACGTACAGAGTATTGGGGATAGAATTTCAGGGACAAATGAAGCTTCGGCGATTAGATTAATGAGAGGCGAAGGAGCTAATGAATTAATCCTCTCAATTCCAATGATGGGAAGAAATGAATAATGCATGTGAAATCATAATAAGATCTTTATATTCTTATGTTACAAAGCATGATGTCCTTCTAGAACGTATTTCATTGCCAAATTAACAATTAACACCAACATGGGAGGAATACAAACTAGACGCAGTATTTTTCCCCTCTATGTTCCCAGACTCTGAACTTGGCTGCGGTTTATCAATTCATTGATAATCGACATCGCCTTGTCCTCACCCTCCCCACATTTTAAGTCACAGAAGCAATATCACATTAGTCAGAGACTCAACATTTTGATATTTCTTCTTGCTCAGCACGCCCTACTACCATCAAGGGTAACTATTCTTAACAATGTCTTCAAATTCTATTTTTGTAAACCATTTTTCCTGAGCTTCTCGGTCGACATTTTCCACCATACGGGGTTGAACGCTGCTATCAACCCCCCCCTCAGTGGCCGTACATCGGGGTCGATCATCAGAAACTACACCCAGTTGTAGAGAACAAGTCACAATATTCTGGCTGAAAACAAAGAACCCAACCCACACATGTGACGGGAAAGAGATGACTGTTTCATCCCTTAAAAGGGGCCAGGACGTCTCATCATTTGATATGTGGCTTGGTTATTTACCTCCAATTGGCTAACTAGGTATATATCATGTGTCTCCGTGCCCTATGTGTCATTCAGTGACACATGAGACAAGGAGACGCTATAACAGCGTGCACTAACCATTCTTACCTTAATATAGAGGTAATATGTGTTATCTGGTTGAGTCGAGACACTGTTAATGGGGTCGGTCCAATTGTGTAATTTTTCATCTTCTATATCATTTAGAGGTTTATGTAACCTAGCCTGGGTATAAGTGTGGGGGCAGCATATTTTATAGATATAATAAATAATTACAACATATGAAATATACTTTTAGAAAATATTAGTTTTGGAGAAATGACCAATCTAATTGCTAAAGATTTAAGTTTATTAGATCTGTAAAACTGATTAGTAAATAGCTCCCTAGTGCCGGTTGCTTTACATGCTGTTATAGTGGTAAGATTAGTGACCCTGCCCAGTACTGTCCCTATGGCGGTATGTTCACTCAGAATGAATGACCCTGCCCAATATTGTCCTTATGATATGCTTACTCACAGGGTGAGTGACTGACGAATACTGAGCATGTCTTAAGTTCACTAGTGACGCTGCCCAATAAACTAATTAATCGAGGCATTTTTTATTTAACTCTGCATTTATGAAGCAACGCAAGACTACATGAAGGACTAAGCATTGTTAAGAGCTACCTATGAAGCGCTTAAGAAATCCCCATCTCACATGATAGCAAGAGAAGTTATTGTGGAGGCCTTATAACCCCTGTGAGATTGACAGACCTTAAGCTAATACTTGACCGAACGATTATTAGTCGGTAATAATGAATATGGTGAGGTAGTAAAGGTATATGGTAAAGGATTTATTTTTGTTTATATCCCTTTTCAATAAAAATTTGCCATGGAAAGGTAAATCTTTGTACAACTTAACAAATAATTATCAGGAGCCTAACGCAATGTTCAGTCGGTTTTTAGACTAGGCTCGAGGTTGGATGGTCCAACTCTGCTTTGTACACACATCAAGACGAGTATTTTTCATTATATATTCTTCAATCATTTTTATGCTTCGTATAAAACCCGTTCATAAAATATTTGAAAATGTAAATTTGCTGCTTTCTTCGTATTTGCAGTTCATTGGATTTAAACCTTAAAACGGAAATAATTAAATTATACACAGCTGTATAATACAGCTTACAGATACAGTTTACTAATAATTACGTCCGCAAAAGATAATTCAAGCAGATATAAACATGGGTTTGAATATGGTTAAAGACATTAATATTAATGTATTCAAGTTGAATAATATAATTAGGCATGGAAGGGATAGGCCTAAAGGCATTGTTTGACAACAGATCTGTGGAATGGTCGGATAACTGGATGGACAAGTAGCGCCACTAGGCTAAAGTGAATGGTTTCGAAGCTTGGGGACTGGCGCTAAGAAAGCTTGCCCAGAAAAAGAGTAAAAACAGTTGGGTATAAATAAGACCTGCCTCTCATCTTCTGTTTGTGTTCGGCCTCATGTTCATTTTATTGTCTTCTATCTCGCTGGTCATTGTATTATTGTGTTCTGTTTCGCATGTTAATTGTGTTGTTACACAAGCTCATTTTGTTCTTGGCTTAAAATAAGATTAGTTTTTTTTTATCTCAGTCTAATCTTGTTAAAACAAAGGGTTGAAGCCTTCAAGAAAACTTGACAAGCTTCTATTGAAGTTATCAGATTAGTAAGGATGTAATATCTAGCCTACGTGCTGCCAACACAAATAGCCTCACTGACCAGGTCATAGCAGGTATGCTCCAGGTTGGTTGATGCTCCAGGCATCCAGGCATCCTAGGCAGAGCCCAGAGTAGCTCTTAAATCGCCATAGGGTAAATAGGTAACATTTTCTCACCTATTTGTCATGTATTCTTGTATTTATGGATTTAAATTGTAAAAATTTGATAGCCAATTCAGCCGGCGATCATCAGCACTATACTCATCTAGTTGTGCTTGCGGAGATTGAGCTTTGGCTGTTTAGTCCCGCCTCTAAACTGGAGTACAGATTCTTGAGCCTACTGGGCTCTTATCAAATCTACATTTGAAACTGTGTATGAAGTCTGCCTCTACCACCACCACCACTGTGACTTGTTTATTCTGGAAGAAATTTGAATTTTAGGCTAATGGTAGGCTTATCAACTGTGAAGTTATGTGTGTATGTGAAGGATGAAGTGAAAGATGGGTTACTACACTAGAACATTTGCTGTTCCAAGTGAGTTGACTACTGGGGCATTGTTGGGCGAAGAACACCAGTTTTTGCACCAGTTGCTTACCTGTAGGCAAGGTAGGTGTGGTGCTGCCCGCGGATATCCTACATATAAAGCTCCTCTCAGCACATCTTGAGTTACGGGCTATTCATGCCCGTGCCACCTCTTGGGTGGCTTAATCTTTATCAATCAACATCTTGAGGCTAACCTCACCGCACATCAAACCCAACCTCAGCACATCTGCCCAGTCTCACGGCACCCCCAACTCATTCACCCCCCCCCCACCACACTTGCAACCCTGATACACCTCCCTCCCCTCTACCTCAACTATTCCTCCAGCTCCTATCCCTACTACAATATCACTCCCACCTATACAGTACCACTTGCTCCCCCTCTCCTCCCTCCATCTTCACCCCCACTGATCCTACCGAGTAGGAGTTGTGGGTGGAGGGGGGCGTGGAGGTAGCCTCACACACCCACATTACCCGCACCTCCACCACCTTCACCTCCTGGGTCTGCACCCTCATCCTCCACAATATTCCCAGGCCATAACTACGGTCTCCAGGCTGTCATGAACCACCACTTTTTCCCTACATCAGAATTTGCATACGTGCACGAAGGTCCTCGTGGCCCCTCAGTGTGTTGCTGGGGTTAGGTAGTTCCCGCGACCCCCAGTAGTGGGGGAGGGATTGTTGGTGGGGGAAGGATTGTTGGTGGGGGAGCGATTGTTGGTGGGGGGAAGGGGCGGGCGTCAGGACTTCCTCGGGAAACGGGGTAATGTGATTGTAGCGGGGATTTGAATGAGGACTCGGGACTTAATTACCTTTTTAATAATTCCACTCACAACATTAATAATTCCACTTACAGGGTCAATAATTCCATTCGGCACTCACTTTTCACTATTACTATAATTTCCTCAATTACTTTAATAATTCTGATAATTTCCCCTGTCATGATTAAGGGTAGTACTCGGTAAGATGAGTACTCAATGAAAGAGCGGTGAGTAAGGAGTACTCAAGGAAAGAGCAGATGAGCAAGAAGCGTTCC